GAGTATGAATCCATAACCTCTCACAGTTTCAGTCATTTAATTGTGGGTTTATTATTAAATGTTTATAACACAAGTACTAAATCTGACACAAAAAGTACAAAAAGTTCCCCTGTTAATTAACTGCTCTTATTTGGAACTACCACCATTTCCTTTAGCTTGTAAATCCGAAATTGTAAGAAAAGTCATTTGGACAACTAATTCTGTGATACCCTGAAGTGACAAATTATTCAAGTGTAAGGGTGGCTAATGGCGCATAAGTCATTTGACTCATGGTAATGTAAAACATGGGCCAACTTGAATATTATTCATTAGTTCAAAGCTTTTCACACTGTGACATTGAGAAACATGTACTAAAAAAGCATTGAAAAATCTCTCAGGAGAAAGAGCAGTACCCTTTGGTCACTGAAAATGTCACTTATTAACGCTGTCAGGACCACTAAAACCTCAACATATTTTAGAGTTATCGTTTTATATTCCGATTCTTTATTTTTTCTCCTCCCTTGCATCTTTATTATACCTCTGCTGCTCTCTCTTAGTCTTATTTCACACACATAAAATCACTACTCTCACAATTATATCATACTCTGATTATATTAATTTACTTTATGTTTCGATTTAGTTTAATTCACCAGCAATACGGTACACACATGTATTACACACACACATATATATATATATATATATATATATATATATATCATACTCATATAAACATAAACATAAATACTGAACATGCATATGCACATATTTGCACAGCTACAAGGACATGTGTAAACACATACACATACGATATGCATCGATGCGAGGACACTCACATACATACAGATAAGTAGACCTTACTTGTCAATGTTGTTATTTGGTTCGCATGCTTGCTAATGATGCATTTTTTAACATTTTTGTTAAATTTGTTCGTATGTTTCCCTTTTGTGCTTGTCCAGTTTTTGTGTGTGTGTGTGTGAAACTCTTAAATACTGTATGAGCTGAGCTAAGCACAGAGACACAGTCTATTGCAGATTCATCAGGTTTCCTGACAGGTTGGACAGTCATGGTTGAGGTTTGATCCTACAGATGTGAATTTGTATGTTAATTAGTCTGGCTCTGATTGGTTCAGATGTTAATTTGCTCTGCTCTGACTGGTTTAACTCTTCAGTGAAGCACAAAACTTGTGTATGTGTGCGTATGTATGTGAGTGTGTAGGTACATGTTTATGTTTCTGTATGTGTATTTTTGTATATGTCCATGAGTGTACGTATGTGACTTTTGTAGGTTTTTGTGTGTTTGTGTGTGCACAGTACTGATACTGTAACCAGTCCCTCTGTTATGGTGTTAATAGTCCAGATGGTCAAATTAGCCGCTCCAACAAAGCAACAAACTATCTAGTCTAACAAATACACACACACCAACCACCTGCTGGGTTTGTTGATACGGACACAACATGTACATGCATGTTAGTCGGACAGCTCAACAACCTGGGCTGAGGGTGTCTTTGTGAAAAAAGAAATGGCCCTGAGTCCTCTGGAATCTGCATTTTTTTTAAGATTAGATAAAATGGAATTACATCAGTTTTATTAATATTTGTGTAGCAAATAGTGCCAGAACAACAAATACAAAATATTTTTTAGCTTTTATTTAAAAATAGTAAAAATCTTCAACTTAATGCAGCAGTGAGGAAATTCCCTTTTTTTGTTGATTTCCAATTCTCATTTCATTGATTTCACAGGGAATCCGACTGAATCCTACCCAGTGGCAGGCATTAAGAATNNNNTGATGGTCTTGTATGCTTATGTAGGTCATATAGAGCCATCAGTAGGACATTTAAACTGTTCCATAACCAGTTAAAAACTACTTATAGTAGTGAGTGTCCTTTTTATATAAAAAAAAAATCAAAATAATCAATCAATCAAAATAAAAAATAACATTTGCAGCACTGAGTAGTGTGAACTTTTTTTTTTCAAACTCAGCAGCTCATTTACGTTTTCTTCCCATTTACTCTTTGCTTTATATCAGTGACATTTTTTAAAAGCCGTTTTCTGTGTGGAAAGACTGTTTAATGAGGTGAACAGTGACTTCTTACAGCAGGAAAAATAAGAAGAAAAACTAGGTGATGTTGAGTTTAGACTGATCAAGTGAAAATATGCAGAAGGTAAAAAGTAATGACACTTACACTTACAAATAACATAAACAGAATTATGTTATCCCACAATCAAAACTAATTTATTCCTACTAATGAAATAAGTGATCAACGGAATACTGCGACATTGTCCTCTAGTTGCTGCTTTAGAAATAAGCTGAATATTATACTACATAAAAATACATGATTAGTTGTGTTTCCCTCTGATTTGAATATCAGTACATGCATTTGAATATCAAAACACCACGGGATGTTTTGTTTGCTGTATAGCTGAAATAAATAAGCACACCAAGACAGTTCCTCCCTCTGGTAATATTCTACTCACACACCAGGCATAGGAAAGGATGAACGACTGAAAAAAAAAAAAAACACAAAATTCCTCAGAGTGGCCTAATTTTACTTTCATTGGTGTGAATGAAAGATGAGGAGAACTCAAGGATTATTCAAATAATTTCACTCTCACCCTGATCTCATTAAGGAATACGAGAGATCTCGTCACGTGGGCACCTAAATTGAGTAAAAATAGGTCATCAATGGACTCCGGCTCATTAAGACTCTGTATTACTACTAATACTTGTGTTGTGTGCCGACCTACTAGAAACAGCTCTGCGCCACATGATGGATTTTTCTCAGTATTATAGAAAAAACTACCACAGAGTTTTAATGTACAATATGTTTTGAATTGGGAAAGTTTTTAAATGGAAAGCTTCCAAATTGGAAAAGAGTTGTTTGCATTTTTTCACTTACCTGACAGCTATGTTTCTTTGGCTTTCCCTGAGAGGACACAGAAGCTTTTTACCTTTTCTCACTTTGCTCATCCACGCACAAACACACAAACACTTAGACACACTGTCCGTTGCTCAAAGTTAACCCAGCAGCTATGTCTCTTGAAAGTTTTAAAACTTCTAAATGCTCAAAGAAAATAGGCTATGAATGGTTCAGGTTTATGGGAAAAAATTCTATCCTCTACTAAATTCTATACTGTAGTCTTTTGAGGAAAGCCAATGAAATATAGCTGTGGGGTTCTTTATATGGAAAAGGAGGCAGGGGAGACCGAGTGACAGAAAAAGATTAAGAAACCAAACAAGCAAGAAGTAAAGAAAAAAAAGGATAACAAAGGCAAGAAAAGCTACATACATATACTGTCGTCAGCAGTATTGTAATTATAGAGACAGAGTACAGATGCATCATGTCTGATGTGTGTCTGTTGTGATGTCGGAGTCTCAAAGTATTTGTGCAAATCTGTCTGTTGTCTCTGTTCTGCCACTGTGATGTTTTGAGTGTTACTGTCAAGATTAGCTGTTTCTGTTAGAATTAAGATCGTATCTGGAGTGCTATGTCATCCCTGTCTCACTACCAAACCGTCTAACTCGTCCTTTGCTCTGTCTTCCACCTGTTTCCTGCTGTCACTCAAGTGAATAAGTAACAAGGCAGGCAGGCTTCCAAAACCAAAACTCAAAGTGGAGAGCTGGAAATTATCTTGTGCTGAATGCTATCAATAGAATGACAGATACAGACAGTTTTTGAGCTATGCCAGGGTGCATTGAAGCAGTTCTGTGTCGCAGATTTGGCAGCAGTGTGGTACCATGGCCACACAGTTTACATCAAGATTATGACTGGTTATTCCCAAAACATGAAACATTCATCTGCATCTAGATATTACTTTCTTTAAATGGAGAGTCTGCTTGCTGGACCCAGTGTAGCTTCACTGTAATCCTTGTCTGTGCCTCATTTTAACCTGTCTTCCTCTGGCTCTCCACCTGTCTGTATTTCTGTGTAGTAAATGAAGGTGGCGTGAGACAGGCGTCTAACTCCTGCCCTGACCCAGGAGAGCCAGAGAATGGAAAACGCCATGGCAGTGATTTCAGGTACAATATGTACACAGAAACATGCACATACAGACTTTAAATGACACCTTTTGTATTCAGATGTATCTGCACACACAGGATAGAGTGCATATACATTTCCATTTTTGACTCCCTGACTTTGATTATGCATGTGTGTGTTTGTGTTCAGCATTGGCAGCGTGGTGCAGTTCAGTTGCGGAGAAGACTATGTTCTTCAAGGCAGTAAAACCATCAGCTGCCAGAGAGTGGCTGAAGTCTTCGCAGCCTGGAGTGACCACAGACCGGTCTGTAAAGGTAAGAAATAGCTCTCCACATGCATCTGCACAAGCATACAAATTACTGACACCGCAGTAACAGACACAGACACAGATGGAGAAAGAGGCAGTAATCATAAACGTAATGAAGTTAAGAAAACACTCAAGCACAGCTCCCCATGCACACTAACTCAAAATGTTGCCAGCGTGTAGCCTTGTCCACTCCTCAGCATGAGTTTGTGTTGATCGGGGCTTAGTTTACCATGGAAAAAAACCCAATTCAGTTTCAAGCCCCTGGCTATGAAATTATGAAACAAAACAGTCTATAATCCAATGTTTGCAGTGTAGCGCCTCACCAACATGCTGCGTTTGTATGCTTTCATCAGAGGAGTTACGATAGCGATTGTTCGGGACCTAGAATTACACCCTCTCATCATAAACACAATATACTGTAGATAATCTGCTTATATATACAGTACAGTGACAAAAGTGTTCTGATAATTAACACGTTTCAGACATTGTTCAGCTTCATTTACTGGTTCCAGTTTCATATCTGCCACTGTTTTAGTCTCAGACTTGCAACACACGTATGCACACACATGCATGCACAGAGAGAGTGAGACAGAGAGAGACAGCGAGAGAGCGAGAGAGCAAGAGAGAGAGAGAGAGAGAGGGAGGGAAGCGCGAGCGCAGCCGTTTGGAATCACTCCACTTTCTCATCACACACAGTGCAGCCGCGCGACCTGCTCCGTGCTGGACCGGGAGACGGACAGAGTTTGAGGCGGCAGAGCGGCGACCGCGCGGCGGGTTGGAAACTAACCGGACGACCGCTGCTGGCAACTCCTACCGGAACTAGTGTTTTCTTGTTTTGGGTGATTTTTAAAACGTTTTTATCTTTTTTTTTTTTTTTTTCTCCTCAATATTAACTTTAAAAAGTGCACAGGGGAAGATGCTGTTCTTGTGTCTGCATCTACATCTGATGGAGCAGATGATGTGATAGAGTAATGGAGGTGGTCCAGGCAGGCCATACTAGTTATCTCTGCGTGTTTGCCTATTTCTGGGTATTTCTGTTCTTTCTCTTCCTCTCTCTTCCAGAGTGCAAGCAAAGATCTCATTTGGGGACAGATGGATCTCCCTTTTTCTCTCTCTAGACAGTTTCCACTCTGGTCCTCTTATCTCTGATCCGTCCATTAAAGGCAGCAGGAGGCGGGGGCAAGGGGTGAATCAAGGCTGGTAGAGGGGAAGAACCAGAAGACTTTGGCAAACATTAAACTCTCCTCTCCTCTCATCTCCTCTCCTCTCACCCCTACCCCCTCCCCCTTTTCCTGACATTCTCTCTTTCCTCTCCTCCTGTCTGACTCATATCCTCCCTGCATTCCTTCTCCTCTTTCCTCCTCTTGTTCCTCACCCAATATCCTCTGGGTTTTTTTCTTTGTGTCTATCGTCACCCAAACTATTTTTGTTTCGGTTCTTATAAACAGTGTTGGAAGCCCTTTCCCCGTTCGTCACCATTTTACCATATGGTCATTTGACTACATCTTAAACATTTTAGCGGCATGTTTTTTGGAGCTGATATATTATTGTAAGGCATAGCTGCTTGAGCTAATATTCGCTATTTTTGGGTACAAAGTGCCAGATGATACAAGAACTTCTTACAATAAACTGAGACACACATCCCAAGTACTTCATATTTGTGGACTATTTTTTTGTAGTCCTAATACTTCTTATAACAACAAAATAATTATTATTATTCTTTTTACTTTTGAGAACGCTAGGTTGTAAGCAGTTGTAGCTGCCTATCACTGCTTGCATACAGGTAAAATGGGATTCTCAGTTAGTAGTATTCATGGATGCTAACAAATGTTATTTGGTTGTTTTGTTAGACGTTATTTTTTTTTGGACATTTTAAGTGTCAGGTCAAATTGGTGGACGATATCCCATTATCTCTTTTACTCTTCAATTTAAACAATATATTAGCCAACTAATGTTAGCATTGGTTCAATTAACGACAACAGTTACACCTTGTTAGTGTAATTTTTTTAGCAACAACTAATCTTAACATAAGAACCCTTTTTAATATAGTAATGTGTAAACACTAAAACTAGGCTAAGTTTGAACTTAGGAGCAGCTGGTGCTAACGGCTCCTGATGTTCTTCAGTTCTTTGCTATGTCACTGTGTAACTGTATAACAGTTAGGGAGAGAGTGATGGAGGGAGAAACAAAGGTATGACGGAGTTGCATAAAGGCTGACCGTTCACACTGCCCCTCCTGTCAGTTAGCAGCTGGAGCTGACACCGGTACACAACAGAGCCTCTTACACACACTTTAAACACAGCCAGAATCCCACAACTTCTCAGGACCACATTTAGAGCTGCATCAGCAAGACGGGAAACTAAAGGTGTGTGTGTTTGAGAGAGAGAGAGAGAGAGAGAGAGAGGGAAGGCCAGTGTTTTTCCTGTGCTCTGATAGTGGGAGCTCTCTGTGAGTGCAGGGCTGTGCTGTATATGGGCCTGACCTGTCTGTGTAGATGGAAGTAAAGGTGAGCTGAAGACACAAAGACTGTCTTTTCACTGATGGCAGCATTGTATTAACATAAAACAGGTATTTTAATGTACTGTAGGTTGCTTAATCGAACATTAAATTGACCAGTACTGTTCTTGGGAAGCCCTTCACTTAAATCGACAAATGCAGCACGTTGATAAGACCACCAAACCACTGACTGACTAGCCCAGTGAGAGAGGAGAAGCCTGGTGTCTGACAGTGTGTGTCGTGAGATCTCACAACTGACCTCTCTGTGTTTCTGGTTGTCTCTCATCGTTCCTTCGTCACTCTCTCTGTCTATTTGATTAATCCTCTAGATTAGCTGGTCAATGTCACCCACCCTCCAACTCTTTCTCGCTCTCCCATCTCTTCTCTCTCATTGTGTCTTTCTCATCATTATTTGGGCTTACCTGCCCACAGTTGCTGCTGGGGACTGAGGATTTAGTTTGTCCTGCTCCAGGAGATCACTTTCCCCTCCAAAACAATGATTAATGATGCACAATTTTTGAGTAGGCTCATTACCTCCTCTCATCAACAAGGCTCTTACCTTTCCCTGTCGGGTCCTCTTTTTATTCACCTCTGTCTCGAGTGGATGTTGTGGGGGGGGCGGGGTGTGAAAGGTGTCGGCTGACAGATTAAACATGTTAAAAAAACAACAGCAAAGAAAAACTTGTATACACTTGTAGACATGAAGAATAGTATTGTAACAACTGCCTGCAGATAATTCTATTCTCTCTCCCATGGATCAGAATCAGAATCAGAATCGGGTTTATTGCCAAGTAAGTTTTTTTGCCTTAGTGCATTGGTGCATAAGAATCACAAAAAAATCAACTTTTGCTTTACTTTTTAAATATAAATAAAGATAGAAAGATCTAAAGCTGTACAAGAATGATATTTACAATATTTGTTCCTGCCTCTGTAGAATTATCTGTAGACTTTTCCCAAGTGTCACTCCACCTGAAATCACACTCAGAGCTGAGTGCTGAGGTTGTTAAGGGGGACAACAACAAAAAACTAGCAAACAGTGTGACAGACCTGTCACTGTCACCATGGATACTTGCCTTACTTGCCCAGCTGTCAAAATTACATTATGTCGTGTTTCATGTAAATATTTAAATGTTAAAAAAAAAGTTAAATCAAATGGCTGTGTGTGTTGTCATGGTGTTGCTTGTAGTGACAAACCCAAAGAGCATTCTTTGATTTTTATTGATGAAATTCAAGAGAAATGTGAGAAAGGCTGTTTTGTCCTCAAGTTAGGTTTACTAAAGTGTGTGACAGTTGGCATTTGTTTGCATGCTGCATCTTCTGTGCAACTTTCCATTCATGTGCACATGTCCATGTCCAAGTGTGTGTTGCTGTGTTTTATCAGGGCTGGTGAGTCTTTCTTTAGCTTTTATAAGTTGAGAGTATTGCTGAGTTATACATCTCCATTCGCCCCCGACAGCCTCCAAGGTAAACACGCCTGTAAGCCTCGGCAGCCTCGGCTCTGTGTAATGTTAGCTTTGGGTCTGGCTGTCGCACATTGCTTGAGTTAACGCTAAGGCTTCTGACTGTGCCCAGGACTTAGCATGAGCGCTAACATCAACACCATAAGCCCTTACCACGTAATTAAAACAAAGTCAATTTCCAACACGACCCACATTTTCATCTGCGACTCCACAGGCTCGCCAGGAACCTGCGGTGATGGCCTGTTGTGATGATGTTTAAAGCAGAACCCGTTAAGTATTTGCTCGGGTTACCTTGGATAGGTTCTCTCACACTGAGAGGATTTGTAATGGGATCCTAATCACCTATTCCCCTTTAAATTCTTCTTTTCAGAAATCGCACTGTTAGCTGATAGCTTTCTGTGTAAACTCTGTTTACTTTAGCAGTTTTTGCTGTGGGTTGTACTGGAGCTTATGGAGATGCAAGCAATCTGAGTCGATGTGTTGTCTGTGAAAGCGATTATTAGGTGCCAAGTGTCAGAGTCAGCACATCAGTCTGTTGGGTTTTGTGTTTGGGGCAAAGTGCGTGTAGAATGTGCAGTGTGTTGATCACAAGGATCAATACACTGCACAATTAATGTCAGTTT